TTTTTTTTTTTTTTTTTTTTTTCAGGTGGATGTGGAGAATCCAGACTTGATTGCATTTCCTGAATTTTCTTCTGCTGTTTATCAGGAGTGTATCCTGAAGGAAGGACAGATGTTGTACATTCCACCTTATCATTGGCATTATGTTAGGTCACTCTCTCTGAGTTTCTCAGTCAGCTTCTGGTGGAACTAGTATTAATAACTAATCATCAATAATTAACAATAAAGTCTGCATACAGGTCAAGTGGCCGATCAGGCCAGAGCTTATTTTTGACGTTACGTCTCCCCTTTTTGTAGAATGACAGCTATGTTGGGCCTAGGCCAAACGTCGGACTTTTCATGAGATGCACCAAACTCTATTTTGGTTCTACTTTAATCAAGTTAAGATCATCTTTTCGGTCAGATGTCAATCTTAGGATGCGTCAAACCAATCAACTGAATCAGATCAGTGATAAATTTTCTCCCGAATGAGGCTAAATATTCATTATCATCCAAATTTTTTATTTATTAGTTTAGTTCGTGGCATGTGAAGGTCAACCGTTTGTCCTGGCCCACAATCCTCGTCACATTACGTTGGGACACCCAGTGCAAAAACCATATAGCGACAAAATGTTGTGCTCTTTCCCTCTCAGTGTTGAATTTTTTGCTTCTGTGATGCCAACTCGCACAAACCAACATTGGGAGGGCAGAAAACCTCCCAACTGTCCCAACTAATGTGACGAGGATTGTAGTCCGAAAAGTAACTTTTCAGGTGGAACGAAGCAACAACCCCCAACACATCTGCATTCTCATACTTCCACCACGTCTCCAATCACACAACACCAATCACAGACTTGACTGTAAAACCTCATTGTAAACGCATTGAAAACATGAAAAATGAATATATTAGTTTTTTTCTACCATTGCAGGAAATGCTGATAATTAACAATTATTGAACGAGGTTGAGCAAAATATCGTGATTTGTCAGTAGCGAGCAGATCAATTATTTGCCGAAGCCGAAGGCTGAAGCAAATAATTGATGTGCGAGACACTAGCAAATCACGATATTTTGTGATAACCGAGTTCAATAATTGTTTTATCATTCGATCACCGAGTTTGTTTTTTAATGATTATCTTCAGGAAGCGAAGCGATCTGCCTTTTTTCACGCAAGAACATATCACTTGTGGTTTCGTTTACGCATGAGCAGAATATTATTTGCAGCCAAACAAAGTTGGACAATGTTGCGCATGAGCAGACCATTATTTGTAGGCAGTTATTTGCAGGTCATGTGGTGGGCTTTCAGCCAATGAAAAGGAAGAAAAATTTGTGTCGAATGATAATTTGCTTTATTTGTTTAAATTTCTAACGAAAAAAAGGTTTAAAGTCATAAACACCTTAAATTTCACAAACAATTAATTAAACATAATTTCTCCTGTAAAAGTACTACAGAGGAACCTTCATATATATAATGATGACTTCAGAATAACGTACGATGTATATTACTTCAGGTGATAGTAGAATAGAGCTCTACATGGAAAACAACTTCCATACTTGTTGAAGCGGTGACTGATGTTTTGCCAGTTGTTTGGCCCTTCATTATATCGAGGTTCCACTATATACTAGTGCCTTAAAAATGTTTGAATGCAGACTGAAAGCCATTATGATGATTCATTAATAGTACAAGATGGTAAATATTACTTCCAGATATGCAATAGTTGGCTCAAATTAAATCTAGAGTACTGGCCCCAGTTTTTCAAGAGCTGGATAACGCCATCCACTTAGCCTGTGTACATAAACCTGGTCCCATATGACCGAGAGAAATACGTTTTTTTTTTTCAAAAGGAAATCGATATAAAATGCCACAAACACGGGAGGTGTGGTCCACTGATTCGTGGGATTTGTAGGGGCATGGGTAGACCATAGGAGACATTATGGGGGATTCAAATCACTGTTTCCCATTAATCATATGAAAAACACATTTTTTTCAACGCCAATTTTGCCTCCTGCGGAACGCAAAAGAGATATTTAATTAATAGTCTACTTAGTAGGTATAAAGGGGGACGGGTGGAAATGAGCCCAAAAAAACTGTGTTAAAGGGGACATGGGGAAGACTTGCTAGCTTCTCGCTTTTTCCTATTTACCCGTTTTTCATCCTCCTTCGACATACATTTTTTATCTAGGCTTTTGATCAAATCGAAAATTCATCCAAATTGTCTATCTTATACATATGGTCTATATTCAGTCCTGGATCAATGTTTTGGCAACATTTTTTTTCTAATTTATCCAGCCCTCGACCGTTTTTAGTCGGACTGATAAACTCTTCTGCAGCTTTCATGTCAGTCCGGTTACACGCGTACAGTTTTATCTCTTCCGTGAAAACTTTGAATGACATCTCATGAAAGCATTCGATCTTTAGAGAGGGAAAGGCCACCAGCAAGACGTGGCTTTTTATAGTGTTCCTTCTCGGAAGGATACTTTTATAGTTGTACTTTTTTATTTACTTTTGACGATTTCTTCAATGGAAGTGACTTTCTTTTCTCTCGCACGTTTTTTAGTCTTTCAACAATAGTTGTCTTCAAAGTTTCATCAATGCTCTTTCGGGATATTATCCTGGTGTAACACTTTTCCACTTCCTGAAACGAGAAATGTAAAATAAAAATCTATAAGAAATAAANTTTTTTTTTTTCAAAAGGAAATCGATATAAAATGCCACAAACACGGGAGGTGTGGTCCACTGATTCGTGGGATTTGTAGGGGCATGGGTAGACCATAGGAGACATTATGGGGGATTCAAATCACTGTTTCCCATTAATCATATGAAAAACACATTTTTTTCAACGCCAATTTTGCCTCCTGCGGAACGCAAAAGAGATATTTAATTAATAGTCTACTTAGTAGGTATAAAGGGGGACGGGTGGAAATGAGCCCAAAAAAACTGTGTTAAAGGGGACATGGGGAAGACTTGCTAGCTTCTCGCTTTTTCCTATTTACCCGTTTTTCATCCTCCTTCGACATACATTTTTTATCTAGGCTTTTGATCAAATCGAAAATTCATCCAAATTGTCTATCTTATACATATGGTCTATATTCAGTCCTGGATCAATGTTTTGGCAACATTTTTTTTCTAATTTATCCAGCCCTCGACCGTTTTTAGTCGGACTGATAAACTCTTCTGCAGCTTTCATGTCAGTCCGGTTACACGCGTACAGTTTTATCTCTTCCGTGAAAACTTTGAATGACATCTCATGAAAGCATTCGATCTTTAGAGAGGGAAAGGCCACCAGCAAGACGTGGCTTTTTATAGTGTTCCTTCTCGGAAGGATACTTTTATAGTTGTACTTTTTTATTTACTTTTGACGATTTCTTCAATGGAAGTGACTTTCTTTTCTCTCGCACGTTTTTTAGTCTTTCAACAATAGTTGTCTTCAAAGTTTCATCAATGCTCTTTCGGGATATTATCCTGGTGTAACACTTTTCCACTTCCTGAAACGAGAAATGTAAAATAAAAATCTATAAGAAATAAATGGATTTAAGCCTTTAAAGAGGGCCAGCGAGTAGCGGAAAAAAAACCCAATTTCTCTTTTTTGGACTGGTTTGCGGGTAATTCACATGGGAATGACAAAACTCTACAATAAGGGCATATTTTCCGACTAATCGGATGGAATTAAGCAACGTTTTAGTTTTTCGCTCACGCGAATCTATTTCGATTTTTCTTTCTCGCTCTCTTTTCTTCCTTTGCCTTTCTTTTTAATATTCAGTTTTGTTCCCCGCTTTATCGTCTTCTTTTTCATGGAATAGTGGCTGCCACTAGTGCCAGCCAGTGGCTAACTTTTTAGGAAAGGGACAAATTTAATCTACAAAGAGTAATAAGAAAATGGCAAAACTGGCAGTGGATTTTTTCCCCAAAATGTTACTTGTTTTTTTGTATGTAACTCTGTCAGGATTGGTCAGAATTTCCAAAATGAGGTATGGATGGAAAGATGTATCTTTGCTATAGTTGGTGCTTAACAACTTAATAGCTTTAACTGAAAGCTAGACGGGTCAAGGAAGGAAAATTTGTACTGTTCCATAGAGAACTAATCTGACCCCAGCCGTCCTCCGGGTTAAACATTCATTGTATCAACGTTTTAGACCGTTTGGAAAGATCGCGCCATTGTTTAACGTATTTAAAGCTTGCTAAAATTTGTGGACATATTGCACAAATTAAAGAAAAAGTTGAACGAATGTTGAAAGCCTTTCATACCTTCAGATAAAAAATTTTGTTAAAGTTTCAATTTGATGGCTCATAGTAAAGGTTTTAGTGTAATCTTCATGAGAAAGAAGAATAAACGGAAAAGAGTAAATATTGGCGGAGAAATGACGGTTTTTCGTTTGTAGCGGAAGTAAAAGCCCCTGAGCTCAAGTAACTGAAGTGTTGGTACACTTTGATACACTGTTTCTTCCAAACCAGATTTTCCCTCATGAAACATAAAGCCATTTCGGCTCATTTTTTACGGTTGTAACACTTTTCCACTATCACATTGGAAGACCCTTTAATTTTTTTTACGTCCGATCTCTATAAGACCCCTTTGACACGGGTTCGGACGAATTTTTGAACGGACAAAAACTTGCACGGATCGCGTACGGACCCGTCTTTCAGTTTACATGGCACCCGCAGAACCGTGCAAGTTTTTGAACAGCAAACAGTACCGTACTCTGTGACAGAATTTGTCCGGAGCCGTGTAAAGGGGTTATAAGATATCAGCCCTCGAATCGCGGGACAAAAAGAAACTGACTTCCGCAGATCTTAAGGGGCAGCAGTGTTTACCTTTTCTGGCCATTTCGAAAGACCGTAACCGCCGGAGCGGGAAAGAAGATAAAACTATCACTGAAAAACGAAAAATAAGATATGCTGATAGTCTATTATTACCTCTAACACTTGCGGAGATGATGTCAGTTCAACCAATAAGGCCGCTGCTTCACACTGGACAACTTCAAATGGTGATGACGTCATCAGGCTGAATACGCTCTGCACGAAACAGCTTACATTTGGTATCATGCGACGGGATTTCTGATGAATATTCAACAAAACGATTTAATTGAATTCTGGATATTACTTTTGCGTTTTCTATATCTAATAGTCTTAGCATTTTAAAGTAAATCGGAAGGGATTTACGTTGGCTAAAAAACGAATATTCAGGTTTTTTTCGATCAAGTTTATAAAAAAGTCACTTTCAGGAAACTTTCATTGAAATTGCGTTCGAGAACTGGTCAGTGTCTTGAAAACACCCATGTTTGATTAAAATTCTTCCTGTTTTTATATCGTTTCTGTAATTAAATACTGTCTAGCCTAAAAAAGGTTTTTTACGTAAGTTTGCAAAGAAGGAAATTCTCATGTAACTTAGTTCACTTTCAGTTTCATCCAGTTTCAGTTATCGATCGTGAAAGACCTCCAAAATTAGTGGAAAATTTCGCTGTTCTCTGAAATAAATCTCATGTTTGATTAAAATTACTTTTCTGTTTTTTTCTTCTTTTACGGTCTTTACGCTTATAAAAAGTTACTGTAACGACAACCGGAAAATAGTGTCTGACAGAAGCTGAAAATTACAATTCCTTTAATAAGGCGCCAAAGGTATTTTGACCAGCTATCGGACCCGCTATATTCGGCTATTCGATCAGGATAAGACGGAAGTTCTTTGAAAGATAGCCTGTTCCAGGCCCCCTTGTTTTTTTCTGCTCACATCTCTTTGCACACTGTTTGCACCGTCCCCACGATCTTTACGCCTGGAACAGCCGGCTATTTGAAAGATAACCAGAACCTCAAGTTGCAAGACTTTTCTGTCGGATAAACTACTTTGATAAAAACCGATAAAAGAATAGGCTTAAGGAGCTATGACGATGAGATCGCGTGATAGCTTCTCGGAAAAAGAATTATAATTTGCAGATTGTCTTGCAGATATATAACTTTCTTCAGTCGTTTAAATTAATAAGTCAATCATGCCATATGATATGCCGCATCACTTTTTGCAATTTTCATGTTGGATGCGCTTTTCCGGTCCTCACAACAAACAAAAATTCAAGTGATTTCGTTTATATTGTAACCGATACACAAACTATTACTTTCGTTATGATCTGTTTTCGGTAATCAGCAGCCATCAAGTTCTATTCTCAAATCAACAAATTCAAAGGAAGGTTTAATTAGATCTCAACTACGGGTTTACTATGGAGTGTTCCAGTTGTGAATTACAATGATTTCTTTATGGAATTGTTTGGGACTCAACTAACCCTTAAAAAATTGTAACAGCACATGACGCGAGCGTGCCATAGAATATAATTCAAGAAACCAAAAATGTTTTAGTCAGTTGCAGTGTGTCACATACCATAAACGAAATTTCATTGCAAATAAAACTTTGGAATAATTGGATAGTTTAATTACTTTATGTAAGTAATTATAACTAACAATGGTCGCGTTTGCCTCTGTTGCCGCAGAATTTTTTACTGCAACACCGATGTTTCTCATCTTATTAACATTAAATTGCGCTTTCAGTGAGAAATGTATGTTACAGTTAATGTCACTCACCCGCCATCTCTCGCTTCTCAAAAACATTGGTCGTGAAAGCAGATAAGTGAAAAAAGTTGACTGATTGATACTGCTGTAGTTTCAAATCCACTGAAGTCTGACGCTAAGTTCAATTTGAAGAATCCTTGATCCGTGATAAACAAATAAAAATAAGGGCTGTGCGACTCTAACTTCTTTCCTGGTTAGGATATTTTCAGTCTTTCTTGCCGCAGCAAGAGAAATCGTGACTTTTCTCGCTAAAATTTTCGTGTGTTTTTGATCGCCAGCGTGTTTCTGAGGTCATGCAAATCCGCGTACAAAGGAATCTTTCTTTCGTGACCGGAAATAACGCAAAATTGAAAAATTGATTTCGTTGGTGGTTCATTTTGTTGGCCCACCCCATGTGGGTACAGATCACTTTGTGGTCATCCTGTTATGACGTATGCAATCAGGATTGGCTGATCATAACAAAAACGGAGGAGTGAAACGGTATCATGCCAGACTTTAAAAAAAAGTACTTTGAAGTTATGAATTATACATTCCTCTTTCAGATCTTTCTTTATCCGGAAGTGTTGGAAAATTTTTCGCTATCTGAAATTATGAAACTTTTGCTTATACTGGAAATTATACTAGCCCAATATCATGGATTAGAGTTAGGCCAATATTGGCCCTGGCTGTCATAGTGTTGTCAGCGGACAAGCTTGCTGGCTCAGCATCTCATCAGCACAGAAAATGGCGGAATGATTTGTAAATTCAGTTGAGCATTGTTTCACGTTTTATTGTTTTGATCATTACACACCAGAAAAGCCATGGATTCCGTTGCAGAGGACGATATAACCCTCCCGCTGGATTTTGATAGGAGGTAGTCTTCCAATAAGCTTACATTGTCTTTAGCTTCGTTGACAACTTGTTTTTCGTCAGTTGACCACCGTGTGGTCTCGCATTGGGCTATCAAAACTCCAAATTGATCTATTATTTATATTGCTACTGTTTTATGATCCTCATTTGCGGTCTCCATGAATATTATTTTGATTCTAGAGTTATTATTTTTTCAGCACGAATCTTGCCAAGTTCAAAGCAGCTGTGGCCGCTGGTATCGGAGGAGACATGCTAGAATCCTCTGCTGAATTCTCCGAAGGATTATCTTCAAGACCAGCAACGACGGGTTAGGATCACTTATAATACTTACCCCTTTTCTTTTAAAAATGCGAAACTACTTAGTGTTTTGTTTTGTTTGTTACTGTATGTTGTTTGATATGGTAAAGTATTCTTCAGTTTGGCTTGTCTTTGACGACTGTATCGGTCATCACAATTCACCGATCACGCACTTATGCATGTGAATAGTGATAGGCTTTTAAATACACAGGAAGGAAGTAATGCAAAGATTGGATGACAAGGCAAACCTGCATGCTTGCGTTTAAATACAGGTTCGATAGTTTTAATGGGTCTTATAATGATCATGTCAAAGCTAAGAAAGTGTAGAACGGCATAGTGCTTCTATAGGAACATTAATTTTATTTACTCACGTAGCCTTAAAAGCAGTTGTTCTTAGTTACAAGCAACAGGTGCAACACCCGGAGCTTCATATTTTGAAGTGTCTAACATGCCAAATACCACCTTTTTTCTGTTAGGAGGTCTTTTGATGTGTAAGACAAAGTTATTCCATATGCATCTTGTGTTTCTCGACAATTAATAAGCTTGAGGATTATATTTGTTATGTCAGTGAAAAGGGCAGGAGGACTTGGAAAACGAAAATACAAGTCTCCTAGCAGGTAGCCTGCGAGCAAACTCTCTGGGGTGCTCACGGGCTACCTAATTACCATACCATATTCTGGTTACTAGTCCAGGTACTCTTATCTCCGACCTACAGGGGACTTATGAGAGAAAATTTAATTGATAAATAAGCTTGTTTTTCTCTTCTTCTCTTAGACATATCATGTAAAATTTCTAAGTAACAACTTTCAAATAAATTTGAAATTAATCAGTTTTATACGAAAGCTATTCCTGTTTGCAGAGATAAAATAAAAGATATAGTCCCCGAATTTTTTATACATTACTGTATATTGGAGGTGTGCTGATCATTGCTAATTTTATCATTCCAAAACCATAATAGTTGGCTGTCAGATAGCTGAAAAATCCATTACCAATCATTTTTTTATGTGATGAGGAATATTACAGATGTATGGAGACTGAACGTTCTTAAGTAATGTAGCTCAAACAATGGTTTCACAGGGGTTTCAGTAAACATTGAAGTAGCCAGCAGGTTTGAATAGAGTACCCGACTGTATCAACAAGGGACCGTTAGTCCTCTTTTTCTAGTGGGGAGGGGATCTAGGGCGTGCTTCCCCAGAAAATTTTGAAATTTCGAAGCCCTAAAATGCGAATTTCAGAGTTCTGGGGACTAAATTGAGGAAAAAAGAGTTTGTTTTTCATTCAAGAAAATGTAGCTTTCATTCAACTTTTGATTTATCGGTTACACAATAAATTCCTACAAGCAGTGAACAAATTATGAAAAACATGCAAAGAGATGCAAACATTATGGTTAACTGATCCTCTCAATCAGTGAAATTGTTGAGACACCCTGTGTTGCATTTTGGGGAGCACTTGAAAAATGAGCTCCCTCTACCCACCTTTACCCTACTAAAGGAATGGGAGAAGGAAAATTTTGTGTACACATTGTGGAAAAGACAAGTTGTTTATTATTTTGTTTATTTATTATTGTTCGGAAAAAATGTATCTGTGTGTTTTAATGTGAATATTTTGGTCGGAGTTGTTTCATGGTTATCCTAAGCTCAGTCCCCTGACCATGCTTGGTAATTGCCAACAGTGCTGGTCCTTCTGTGTGTTGGTATTTTTGGCCGTCTACAATGGTGAGGTACCTGGAACAAATAGTAATGTCATCCATATTCTTCTTCCAATCTGCTTTGCATCCAAGTTTGAATCGAAGGGAGAATTTGAGATTATGATCAGGATTTACGTAGGGCCTTATTCTATGCACCCCTCATTTATGTATTCATTAAGAACAATATTATTTATCTGACCTCCCCTGTACCAACCTTAATGCTTTCAACTCCAATTAAGGATATTAATAGACTGAGAAACCTAATTTATTTCGTGATTTTTTTTTCTAATCTTTTGGAATTATCTGGTTTGTTAGGAACAGCTTCTCAGGACACTACAGGTTCACCACAAACAAAGACGATGAAGGATTATGAATATGTAAGTACCCACAATATTGTTTGTTTTCCACCAGTTACTAATAAAGAAAAAAAACTACCTGATGATAAGTAGTTGACTGCACCCATTTTACACTTTAACCTAAAACTCTTTCCTTCAAAAGTGATGTGGTTCACACTTTCATTCTACCTGCCCCAAAATTCCACATTATTTTTTTTCTTTTTGTTAGGTCAATCAAGAGGTGTTTTTTTTAGTAGATCCCAGTTTTCTCTGGCACTTTACTTTTGGTCTTGGCTGACCAGGAAATGTAACTTTTCCAATAAAATCACATGCTGGGTACCCTGGATTTTACAGGTTCAGAGCACTGGGGTTCCTTCAATTTTTTGTTCGAGCACAGCCCAGGCCTTGAATAAAGATAATTTAAATAATAATGATAATATTTGTAATAATAATCAAAACAGTAATAATTATGCTAAAAATATTATTTTTATAATAATTTTTTTTTTTTAATAATGCAAGCATCAATAGAATGGTCAACAATAATTCATAAAACTTCTTGCAAAAGCCAATCACTACTTGGAGGAAATGCTTTTGAGAATATTATAATTTAGTGGCTAGTGTTCATTTCCATGTAGAAAAAAAGAGAAAGAAAATGTAAATTAAAATAGAAAAAGTGAAAGGAAAAAATAATGTTGTCATGAAGGTGCTAGGTATTAATAGCCATATTCAAGAATTTCATCCTCTCATAAATGTAGAACTTTACAGAACATTGTTATATTATAGCTCAAGGTTGTTTTGAATACTGGTGAATATGGACAAATTTTGTCCATATTACTCACCTGTCTGCTTTTAAAAGGAAGTGTATCGAGTTTGTGTGTTTGTTGTCTTGCTAAGGCAGATGTCTCATGTTTCAGCTTTCCTGTATGTGAGTCCATCTTGATATGCGCATATATTCACGACTTGGCCATTTTTTTCCCTCTCAGTCGGGTTCTTATAAAGACCTCTTTCACTTATCATTGTTTTGTTAATATGTTCTCCAATTTGCAAAAAGAAAGTTGAAAATATTGGACACTAGAACATATACACTATTATATGTACTATTTTTGCTCCCAAAGTTCAAGATTGCAGTACATATTTCATTGTAATTTTAAGCATGTCAAAATCCATGTGGATTGAGTATTCAAAGACAAGGCCTGTGTTTTTAATTCTAAACAATGGCAAAGCAGCAAAATGAGGTATAAACTTCATTTCATTTCCTAATCTGCAACCTTTACTTTAGTGATGTAACAGCAGGAAATTTTAATATTAACATAAAGTTTTTGTTTTTAAGTGTTTTAATTTTGAGGAAAATTGAGTTGTAAGTATTTCTGACCAATTAAAATTTGTCTGCTCACTCTTTGGTATTTTTAAATCCCAATAGCAAATTTCAGAACTGAAAAAGGAGAATTTTGGGCTGAAGCTGAGGATTTATTTCCTTGAAGAACAACAGAATAACAGTGATATTCCACAGGATATTTTCAAAGCTGTAAGTATTTACTTTTTGTAAATATTTAACATAACTAGAAATGTCTTTTACATTCAAACTGCAAAAGTGGAGTTATTGAATTTAAAAAAGGCCAAATTTTCAAATCCATTTCTTTGACAAAATTAATATTATGTGCAATTCATTTTATGTTTCCTAATTAATCCACCAACTTTAAAGCTGAGAGCGGGTCTTAGAAGTAACCACAACAGTAAAGTAAAAACTATACCTAAATATAACTAAATTGACTACCAAAAATGTATATTAATGGACAAACCTACTCAGCCTGGTAAAGACCCCAAAATGGATTGTTAATTTGTGAACCTTATTGGTGTCCAAGATTTTTGTCTGTTATTTAGTCTGGAAAAAATGAATAAGTGAATTGAAACTTTTCAATCAATAAAAGAGAGACTAATAATCATGATATATCATATTATGTGGGCAATCACATTTACTATTAAAGGACAGTATAAAAAATAGCAATAAATTATTGTTATTTACATTTTTTTTTAACATGCATGTAAAGTTGTTAATTGTTTTAAACGATTTTGTTAAAGAACATAGAACTCAAGGTAACAGTGGAAAAATTAAAGAAGGAGCTTGTTGAAAGACAGGAATTGCTTGTCAAGGCCCGGTAAGTAGCTGAGTTTTTTGCCGAGTTTTAAAATATATGCTACATTAGAAGTGACTCTGAAATTAAACTCTGGTATATTCGAACTGAATGACAGAGTCTCAAAAGTTATAAAAATCTCACACATTTGTATTTTGCTTAAACAATGTGGTACCAGAACTGTGAAGAGGTCTGTGAAACTGTGTTTGAAAAATGACCATTCTTTCTCAATAGGCCTTTTGCATTAGTTGATCATGTGATCAACTTTCTGAAAATATGAAAACAGTTTGCTTTTGAAAAGTATTGTCAACAGAAACTGAAAGAGCATATTTAAGTAAGGTAACCTGTAAATTTTCAGCCGTATATTTTAAAAGTTGGGATTGCAATGGCCGCTGAAAATTTTTTATTAGAAGGATTTTTATGGGAAAAACAACTCTTGCCACCCAGTCACGTTTGAGTGGTTTTGCATACAAACCCTTGTAAATTTGGAAATTTTCAAACTGTCAAAATATTTCCTGAAGCATCATGGGGCTCAAATCTCCTTTTTATTCATAATAGGCAATTTAAGCCCTTAAATGCATAAGGGAAAGACTTAATGACAGTTTAAAAATGTTGAAACTTACAATGATTTGTATGGAAACCGTTCAAGTGTGACTGGGTGGCAAGAGTTGTTTTTCTCAAACAAATCCTTCTAATTTTTGGCGGCCATTGCAGCCGCTCCTTTTGAGATATACGGCTGAAAATTCACAGGTTACTTAATTTTAACTTGCTCTTTCAGTTCCTGTTAAGAAACTTTTCCAATAGCGAACTATTTTCATGTTTACAGAAGGTTGATCACATGACCAACTGTTGCAAAATGCCTATTAGTGAATGATTCCTTTGCTTGAAAGAGTCCACCCCTCAGGAATTTCCAGTTTGGCTTATATACTGTTTTTCGTAAAGAACCCAATCATATCTGAAGACTTTCCAAACAATTTCTGAACTCATTTTGAGGAGTTCCAAACTTCTCAGGAAATTCATAATGCCCTGTACAGACTTCCAAAAGAGGATATTACATTGTAGTTCTATTTTTTTACTTAGTTCATAAATAATTTTTTAAAGATGCATCAGTTAAGACTGTAACAGCTCAAATTTTCCTCCATACATGAGAAATATTGGTCCATAGCTTTGAGTAGGCATGGATGAGATCGAAGTTTCTGATGGGCAAACATGAGACGCATGCCTTAAGGTGATGGTACATGAGACAACTTGCAATGACGATTTTTAGCACAACACAGCGTTACAACGTTGTTGTTACATTGTTTCGAATGGCTGCAACATTTGAACCCTGTGTTGTACTAAAAATCATCGTTGCCAATCATCCTGTGTAACATCACCTTAAAATGTGAGAGATGGGAGATGGTTGGTGTACAGCAGCTATACATGTGTTCACTAGACCAGATGGGTGACATGCTGGAGTATGATTATCATCTTGAACTTTGCAGGCAGGTTATTTTGAGGATGCGCCTGAGACCAGGTCAGCTTTGGGTCAAATTACAATGTACACTATGGCACTGTTTTGTGGGAAAAATTTGGACCTATTTTCCAGTGCAATCTAATAGAAAGAATAGATCTCCCATAATAGACCCATAATGCAAGACATCCCCAACCCAGTCATGAATGCAACCTCAAAATGACGATGCAGCAACAGACCCTGATGCTTGATCATCAGTCACATGAAGCTGTAGTAGTAGTAGTAGTCACTGTGGTTGTGGTAGTGGTAGTGGTAGTGGTAGTGGTCGGTAGTGGTAGTAGTAGTAGCAGTAGTTATTAAAGTGTTAGTCATTCTAGCATTAACACACTAATTGAAGACACTATATTATAATAAGCAAATTTACCCTATTTACATATTACATCTACAACATAAATATTAAAATAAGCTATTGCCTGGTGACATTAAAAAAATAATAAAAAATAATCTAAAATCTTTCTCTTTTCACTTGCAGGAATGCTGTTGAAGCTGTAGCCCAACATAGTGACAGTGAGATCAAACAGGTGGGAAATAAATTAAAGGTTGGCTTGTAAATAGAAAATCTGGGAAAATAGCCTTTTTTGGGGGAGCCTAACTGTGCTGACTCTGAAAAAGGTTTGGAAAAAAGAGACACTATTCTCAGCACTTATAGTAAGAACTGCTTGATTAATTGATTAAGAGTTCCCAAGTCACATTGCATGTATTGTTTTCAAACAATGAACTGCTTGTTGAACTGGAGATTTTCAAGGGAAATCAAACAGAAATTACTGGAAATATGGTGAGGAGATCAGGAGCGAAGTTTAATCAACAAACATAGAGCATTTTATTGCTTTTCCTTCTTTTGACATTTAAACTTATTTTATGTTATAAAACACCTACATGTATGTAACGTACATGGGTGTAATTATGAAAATAAATTACCTGTTAGCAAACCTTCCTTTCTTAAAATAAAATTTTTTTGTAGCTCACAGAGGAACACAATGAGGAGTTGAGAGAAATTCGAGAGGGGTATGAGATCAAGATCAAAGAAATGGAAAAGGTTTGACACATACAGATGTATGTTCTAGTTCAAAATCCGTAAACTTCTACTTTGCCTAAAATTGTGACCTGAGTGTGTTTATCTATTGTCTTCTCTGTTTCCCTAGAATAGTTTCATTTGCTTTGTACAGTGCTGTAGTTGTCGTTTTTAAAAAAGTTATTGATGTGTTGCTGCTGATTCTAGGACTTGACTGTTGCAAGACGTGAAGTGGAGGACATGACTGAAAAACTTGTAAGTGATAATAACATTGTTCTTAAGCTTCTTTACCTTTTAAGTGGTTGCATTAATTTGCTCCTGTGTTTAATTGATGCTCAATTCAGAGATGTCATCCAGGATGAATGATGTAATAAACTATTTTGCACCTTGACCAGTCATTAAAGCTTGCATTTTAGTAGCATCCTTCTTCTCTACTGGACTGAATGTTATGGCATGTTTCCTTTTTTAATACATGTAGTTTGCTGTTCTCATCATACAGGCAGAAACAGCTAATCTCAATCATCAGTTAAATGAAAAGCTTTTAGAAAGCACAGATGGCTTCCATGAAGACCAACAACAATTACAGGTGAAACAGATACAAAAATAAAAAACAGTTGATGACAATACCAGTGAAAGTAATAGAGTAGCTGATGGTTCTGTTTTTGAATCAAATTGGACATTTTATACAGGCACGGATCTAGGATAAATAATGACCGATTTTTTAAACGAGCGCCAAAGGCACAAGCTTCTAGCAGGAACCGGGGAGTGCTTCCCCAGGAAATAATTTGGATTTTTACTCCTTAAAGTCCCCTTTCCTGGGTTTCCGAGTCATTCAGAGGGGATATTAGCCAGATTAATACTTGGAAAGTTTTTTTATTATTAAAAATGCATTAATTATGAACAATATGGCCGATTTCCGTAAAACGGTGGAAACCGGTGTGGATCCGCGCCTGTTATACCCTGCCAGCGGAGGTTTCTCTCTCGCATGGTGTTGGTAATTGTTAGTTGCGTGGTAATTGGTTGCTTTATACACCCCAGGGTGTATAAAACAAACCAATTACGTGGCTGACAAGTGACGTGAATGACTTCGTAAATGCCAATAGCCATGCAAGAGAGAAACCTCTGCTTGCAGGGTAACATTTCATTAAAGTGTTATTGGTGCTGGCATATATAGCCAGAGAGACCAAGTCCCAGAAGTATGGCTAGTGCATTGTTGTGACAGAGTAAGACCTAGACTGAGATTACCCAGTAATCCTTTCTTTTTTCCAATATTGCTTTAATTAATATAATTACTTAATTAATACCACTTAATTGATCATGAATAGAAAATATATTTTTATCATTATTTTTTTTTCATTAAGGTTGCTTTAAAAGCCACTTTGGATGAAAAGGACAGGTAATTCATTCAAATCCTCTTAAGTCTTGTTTCTTTTTTTCTTCATTCATTCACACAATTATTATCCTCCATCATTCGTCTCTTTTCCTCATTAATATACTGTCTCTTTTAAAAGTTGTTACAAATGTTTCCATCCAAGGCCTATTGTGTTTGCATTAATTCCAAACTTGCTTTCAAATCCACATTGCTAGTTCATTTTTATGTCAGCCAACAGTGGTTGTATACATGTACCTCTTAAACCTGCTTCATTGATTTGATTTGCTTTGTTTCAGGATGATAGATGACTTGAGGGGATCTCTTACCTCTATCAAGGCAGAAAACAAGGTGTGTATTAAGTGAAATCCATTGAAAATCACTCTATTGACAGCCTCTTAATGTTAATGACAGTGCTGTCAACTCTCCCAGATAATCCATGAGACTCCACATTTTGGACCATGTCTCCCGGTCTCCAGATTAGAGTCTGATATCTCCTGGATAATCGCCGAAGTTGCTACTTCTTGCAGACTCGACTTTCCAACCATAAAATTTCAAATATTTTGCGTTGTTTGAGCTACTGTTAACGGGGAACGTTTCCTCATAAATTTTGGTATGCCACTGCAATTTAAGCAATAATGTGGCTAAATATGAACTGCTTGTATATGTGCTATATACATCAATCGGAATCAACGAGCATTTTTGGCACAAATGACGTCATTTGTTGTGCGATATGATGTCATCAATCATTCCTACCCTATCAATTCTCAATAGTTGATGATGTGGAGGGTTGATAGCCCTGTAATGGAGACTTTTTCATTCTTGTGAAAAACCTGTTTTGGCTATAAAATCAATGCTTTTAATGATGTCGATGGTGATGGTAGTAATGGTGTTAATAAAGGAATGTTAATGGTTTTATGTTGGTATTTGCAGTTAGGTAATGATGCTGATTATGTTTATGGCATTGATAATGGTGGTTAAGATGTGCAATGATGACTGTAAGAAAATTTGATAGTTAATAACTGCAAACTTAAACACTGCAATTTTTACCATACACTGTAATTGCATATCCTTACACAGGATTTAAAAGATAATCTTGAAAAGCTTAAGGAAATGTTGGAAGGTCAAGAAGATGATATTCCCCAGGTACTATTGCCTATTGTTTCCGTTATCATTGTGAAAGACTTGAGCACTTCACTGTCTGTTTGTTTAATTTGTTTGTCTATTTTGGTAATTATTGTTTTCTATTTCAATTCAGAATGCAGCTCTGGAAATCAATGCAAAAAAGATTCAAGAATGTGAAAAGAGGATCAAACAACTTACTGATGAACTTGAAACTAGAAAGCAGAAAGTAGAGGTGAGGCTCAGTGAATAACATATTAATTCTATGAAGCATTGAATGGTGTTGTAATGTACGGCTAAATAGAATCCTTTGGTTAAAAGTTTGGTTTTCCTTATGCAGGTTATGTAATTTCACCCCACAAGACAAACAAAAAGGAAATTCCTTTAACCCTTTCACGGCCAGAGTGCTTGATGGAGGACCTTGTAAGGTGACTCTAACTTCTGAGTTTGCAGACCAAATCCTATGATGTAACCATTCATATGAAACCTCTCTGCCTTTACTTACACATGGTGCTACTTGTTTTTCAAAATTTCACAAAATGAAATTTGGAAATTTGGTCGAAATTTGCTTTGGCGAAATTTGGCAGTGAAAGGGTTAAGAATACCCTTGTGTAAGTTAATAATTTGGTTTGAAGATGACTTACCTGGGCTTTTGCTTATCGGACAAAGGTGCATGAAAAGTTACCGCTCGCCACGGCAACTGAACGGGACCTTTTTTGAGCCTGACGAACTTAAGAGGTTTATTTCCTTGTACATAACAGGGGCTGCCATTGAACGGTAATGTTCATCACACGGATCAATTTAGGTTGGCTGGGAAACTGCCCACCTACCCCTCCCTTTAAGCCATCATTTTGCCCTACGTGAGAAATAAGTATTAATGTTAGCTTAGGGGAGGGGTAGGTGGGCAGTTTCCCAGAAACCTAAATTCAGATCCGATCACACAACTCAACTCTAAATTCAAATGCATCCTTTGTGGGAGCAATTTTATTTCAATATAGGCAGCATAAACTATCTATGTTGCGGTGTATACACTTCTTGCATATACAGGCATGGTTATTTGAATAGTTATTGTTAGCGTAATATTATTGATCTGATTTGGTTCTTCAAGGAATTAAAGGAGAAAACTAAAAAACTGGATAGAACAAACAGGGTAAGACATGGTCCTGTTGTTGTCTTTTACTAAGTGCATCAAAAGTCCCTTTACCAGCTTCGTATGTTAGCATTGTTTTGTTTCAATGTTTTTGTAAGATATTGTCCTTTCTGTTTGTTTCAGGACCTAAGAAATCAGCTCCATGAAAAGGAAAGAGAACAGCTTCATTCCAGAAGTTCAATGGATAGTTCTTTGTCACAGGTGTGAATTGCCAAAAAAGTCAACTCCTGTATTGCTTAGTTCCAGAAATATTCTGATTATTTATTATAATATTCTGATTTGTTTTATAACCCCCCTCCCGTGTGGAAGTTCCAAATTAGTTTCATACATTGCTTTAGATTTCTGAGTCTTTAAGACCCTTTCCCCCCCACTAGAATTTCCAGTATGGATATTTTTCTGGAATTACACATTAGTAAATGGGAGTAGCAGCACGAAACATAGCCATCTGGGCTTGTTGAGACCTTAAGTCTGCCCTCAAGTCGCGCACATACCATGCACGCTTTTCGTAATGTGTGCTTGATGGAGCTCGAGTATGTCCAATGTACTGTGTCACTCATCGCTTGTTTTTACTTGCACAGAGTCACAGGGATGGTTCCAGTTCAAGAGATAGTGAGGTATGTAATGCATCATCAGCCCTATATTCTTCGACAAAAATAGTTGGGACACTTCCACAGAACGCTGTTTTTTTCCTTCTCGCCCGTCTCCTCTATCTCCCAAAGTTGTTTATCGCAGTTAATATAGCAAATCAGTTACTCCAACATTGGGAGGGCAAGAATTCAGTGTTAAAAGTGTCCCATTGTCCCAACAATTTTTAACTGAGACCTGTAGATAGATTTAAACGTAAATAGAACTAATTTTTGATTTTGCTTATTGCCACGAAGTACAACAAAATTGTTTGTCTGGACAAATAAGAAGTGGCCGTTGTAAAATAAGCAAAGATTCAGCTGTAATTAACTTGTCATTGAGGTTCATATTGGTATTGTTAGCTAAAAGTGAGATGGAATTATTGATTTTTTTTTGGTATCTCGAATTTCTTAATTGAAATAGTTTTGTGTAGCAGCAATCAATCGATGTTTTATTGTGAATTAACTCCTAGTTACAAAAGCTGTATACCAAAGTTCAGGATTTGAATCAAAGTTTGACAGCAACAAGAGAAGCTGCTCATACTGCTAAAAGGAAGTGGTACCAGGTATGTAACTTGTGGGCAAGCTAACAACTCAAAGGGATATGGATGGGAAGGTTGACCCCTTTTTCAACCCTTACAAGTCTGAGGAAAATATACAATATTATTGTCCCAACACTTACCTTGACTTTCACATAGCAAAAACGTAAAGAAAACAAAAAGAAAAAAACAAACAAACAAATGACTTGAAAAATAGTTCTCAATTGATTTTTGAAAGTAATTTCGTGAACTCTTTGGTTCGCTTTTTAAAAAATAATATCACTTGCTTATGCTCATTTTCCCGCGCTTTTCCATAGACGGTACACTTTACAGCCAAATAAAGGAGGTCGATTTCATCTTTTGGGAGTAGTTTTTAGCGGCTAATTTGTCGTAGAAAAATATAACAATTAGATTCTGTGCACTTTTGTTTTACCAACAACAATTTCAAGAGGCTAAAACATAGTTTAAACCTAGTGAAGTGTTGCTCTTTAACATTTGTAACATGTGTATTTGAAATACTTCAGGCTTTCGAGGAACACGCTGAAGTTTTGAAAGCAAGAGATGCCATGATAGCTGCTCTGCAAAGCTCTTTGAGCGCTAAGGACATGGAATTAGAGGTACATTACTAATCTGCTGTTGTCGTAGACCACATGTGCTGATATAGTTCTTCCCCTAATCCTAATTCAGTCCCAGTATCAACTGCTTTGTTAGTGTATGAGGGATGCAGTAAAGCTTTAACTTTCTTATTTTCGTTAAAAATCTTGGGTTCTTCCCATTTACACGAACTATCTGGTTAGAAATCCCCTGCATAAACATCTAATGATTAATAATTACCTCACTGGAGAAGGACTTAGTACAAATTGTAGCCAAAATAGCTGGAGAAACTAAACGCAAATAGAGAAATTGATCGCCTCAAACGACAGCCCACATTTTCTTAAACTTCCCAAACGGAACTGTGGAAACCATCTCCGATTTTTTAACCGGAATTTCCGTTTTCCCATATAATTGGTAAGTGATGTTCTTTCACATGTTAATACAGGGATGCCTTTACTAACAACACTTTCGCGGGAACCTCGCTAGTGACCGTTTAATAGAGGTGTCTGTTTCACACAGGTTTATGCTGGATACCAGAGACCCTTCATTCGCGATTTCGGCGACGTTTTATTTTTTGGCTTCGCTGCTCGTGTCCTCGGCCTTTGGCCGAAGATATATCGATCAGCAGCCGACCCCGAAACATCCCGCCGCGTGAGAGAACGAAAAACCTCTGGTACCCAGGGTAATACGTGTACAGGGCCGAGTTGTTCAAAGCTGGGTTAAGATAACCCAGGGTTAGTGCGAGATTTGAATTCAGATTTGAAAGCTTAAAAAGCAATTCAGTTTTAATTCTTTTTGTCTACAAGTTGATGATTGGAAGCTCTAAAAATAGCAGAGAAAATTATCCGAGAAAATGCTTTTGAACATAAGAAAAAGAAACACGGGTTAAATTTAACCCCGGGTTAAGCACTAATCGGCCTTCGAACAACTGGGCCCAGGTTTGTTTTGCAAGTAGTAAGGGAAGAAAAACTTCGGGCTCACTGAACTGGTCGCCCGCTCAATACCAGGTGTCAGCTTACCACATGGTACAAACTTCGAAATTTTCTCCACCTTTCATTTAGCTCACTGTACTAGAACTGAAGTATTAAAGTATTGTTTTTTGCTGCGTTTCAGAAACTAATCCAGTCGATGTCCGCCAAGGAAATCGAGCTTCAGAGGTTAAACAATGGAAAATCTCTGCTGGAGCAACGACTGGATGAATTGATGAAACAAAAAGAGCGGGAACAAGCCGTAAGTCCACAGTGAAAATGTCCTTAGTAGTCGAGATGTATCTTTGTTCCAAGAAAAATTTTCTTTTATTCAATGGTTAAGATACTCATAAACTAGTAGTGGAAATTATGTGTAGAAGTTACTCTTTTCCCTATCAGCGAAGTAATTCTGTTCGTCCTACATATGTTGGGCGCTATCGAAGAGCTTTATCGACGAGCTCACGATTGCCCAGCTCTTCACAATTGGTCTTGATTAGCACAGTCCTGAAGTTGCAAATGTCATCGTTCGAATCCCCATGTAGCCTGGTTATTCACTGGAGGAGAGTTTTTCCAGATCATTTTGGCGGTACCGGGTTCGTTTTGCCGTTAGCCTGTGAACAGGCTCTCTGTTTGGGGAAAGGGTGAAAAAATCGCGAGCAGAGGGAAGGAAAAGGGTGAGAATTTACAGTCAACTCTCATTGTAGCGAACACTGTAGGCACCTCTAGTTAGTGTCCTCATTAGCGAGAGTCCGTAATAGCGGGAGTTTATTTCAGTCAAACTGCTGTTATTTATTTTTGCCCGGTATTTAGCCACTGTCCGTATAATCGGGGTGTTCGTTATAGTGAAGTGTCCGCAAGGCGAGACTGTACATGCAGATGCGTGAATCCTATTTAAAATCGCGCCGGTTTCGTTGCATATCCGGGGATTTTGAATCCGGAAGCTTAAGTGATTGCTATGTATCGTAATGAATGTAAGCGTCTGCGAATCCGAATATCCCGAAACGTAATAAGTCTTAAGACATTGCTGAATCCGGAAAAATCTCAAACTAGTGTAAACATAGCCTCGTTTTTCTTCCTGTTATGTTCTAAACAGGAATTATTGGAAAAGCATAAAGCACTATCGCAAGAGCACTATTCCAAGATGGATGCCTTAGAAGAAGCTTATCAGGTATTTTATAATTAAACAAAACAGATTCTATAAAAGTGGAAATGAAGATATGCAGAATAAAGTGTAACTTGTCTGTAGATCCCAAACTACATGCTGATGCATTTTTCTGATAATGTAGCAAGTATCTGTAGAAGCACAAGAACAACTTGAGGCAAAAGACAGAATCATTCAGAAGTTGGCAGCGAACAATAAAGAGAAGGACAACTTACTTGCGGTAAACAGTTATACAACTTCGGTTATTTCCTAGCATGCTCTTGTTTTATACTCATGCAGTTTGGAAGAGGAAGCAAAATCAGACCATTTCCCCTTTGTTGGTCATTTTATGAATTCTGCTAATCTCTTCACCTGTTTGTAAATGGATAATGTTTGGAAAAAATTGATATTGATCACTTTTGGGGAGGGCTATATCATTGTGTTGTAACAATGAGGTTACTAAAACGTTTTTTTCCTGCTTCGGGATCTTGGCGATGTTGAAGGGCAAATGATATTTTAACACAATCTAAAATTCCATTTGATGAACATTGTTTTCCTCTGCTTGGATCCTGCAAACAAGTGTACTTAAACTGTTTATCATTGCAGTTGTTCCAAATACTTTTAATAACATTCATTGGTTCTTGTCCTTTAGGACTTCCTGCAGGCTTTGAGAGAGTCTGGTGACGACTCAGGCGTAAAGGTAGAGTTTACTGTTCAATTAACGTTTTAGTTCAACGTATCCTGTGTGGTTTGCTCACCGGGTGCTGCTTATTTTCTAGAGCCCATCTGATAACGAAGAAAGTCTCGTAAAGAAACTAACGAACTACATACAAGAAAAGGATCGTGCACTGCAGGTGAGTGTGATTTAGTATGACCAGATTCCTCTCTAGAATGGTCCCTAAAGCTACTCTTTGTAATTGGCGGAAATTTCGCGCTGTTTTTTCGACCTTGGGAACTAGAGCCATTACCAGTCATGACTTGTTCACACTTGTTTTTTTCGTGTTTCGCACCTTGCCTTATTTCTTTGAAAAATTAACTCGCCCCCTCCCACCACCCCCTAAAAAACTTTCAGTGCACGTTTAACACTGCAGGAAACGTGTTTTAACATTTTAACGGACTCTTATGCTAGTCTAACGTAACTGATATCCACAGGTTGCAGCTGAAGAAAAGCAGCGAGCGCTTCAAGGCAAAGAAGCGGAACTTCAACAACTAAGACAATCCCTGAGGGAACGGGATAGGCTGATTGAAAAAATTAACTCTGCAGTCCTCGAATCTGAAGAAAACAATAAAGTAAGAATGAAGCTGTTTTTTATTGATTGCATGTAATGAGAACAATGTATTCCTTGATGTAAATGTTACAGGATTCATCACTCCAACACTTTTCGCTTAGGGTCAGTCTTTTTCTGAAACTGTCTCATTTAAGTAATGCATTACCGGTATTCTCCTATGACGCTATAATAGGCCATTTCCGAGTTCCCCCGGCCTCTATTTCAAAACGAGGGTAGGTGCTCAGCCTTTGATGTGGAAGTCATTTTTTCATTCTCATGCAAATAAAACTCGTTTTCACAAGAACTAGCCTCATTTTGAAAGTGAGGGTTTTTGGAACTCGGAGGTGGCCTATAGAGTGTTTTCACTCACATGGCCAGCATCTATGCAAATTTATTGGAACAAAAGAAAGCGTTTGCATAAGAAAAGAGTTCAGCTCCCACAGGATTGGTTTGGAGCACCAACATGGCCGCCGTTTTATTGTTTTGGGACACCAATATGGCCGCCGTGACGTCATGTGAAAACACTCTATTCAGGTCATCAAACAACGCTGGTTCCTCTTTACATAAATTCGCACAATTGATTTCCTGAACCAAATCTTCTTCATAAGAGTTTAGAACAAAGCAATACACATTTGGTAGCGTAAAGGACTCTGATATGAAAAGAAAAATGGCCTCACTTCTGGTTGACATGCATCGCTCAAAAACGTCTTTAACCCTGTAGGACCCAAGAATGATCAAAGTCAATTTTCTCCAAAGAATATCAGTACATAATCAAGAGAAAATGTTGTGAGAAGTAATAAAATGATCACCTGATAGGAAAAGCTTTGATCTACAAACAAATTCTCTCAACTTATTCTTTATGGAAATGTATGGAGATCAGTTTGGAGAATTTGTATGTGGATATTGAGGCTTAAAGGGTTAAGGTCTTTTTTCTTTTTGCAGCTTTTAGAGAGCACCAACAAGGAGAAGAGTGAAGCGCTGCAAAGAAGAGCNTCATTTTTTCATTCTCATGCAAATAAAACTCGTTTTCACAAGAACTAGCCTCATTTTGAAAGTGAGGGTTTTTGGAACTCGGAGGTGGCCTATAGAGTGTTTTCACTCACATGGCCAGCATCTATGCAAATTTATTGGAACAAAAGAAAGCGTTTGCATAAGAAAAGAGTTCAGCTCCCACAGGATTGGTTTGGAGCACCAACATGGCCGCCGTTTTATTGTTTTGGGACACCAATATGGCCGCCGTGACGTCATGTGAAAACACTCTATTCAGGTCATCAAACAACGCTGGTTCCTCTTTACATAAATTCGCACAATTGATTTCCTGAACCAAATCTTCTTCATAAGAGTTTAGAACAAAGCAATACACATTTGGTAGCGTAAAGGACTCTGATATGAAAAGAAAAATGGCCTCACTTCTGGTTGACATGCATCGCTCAAAAACGTCTTTAACCCTGTAGGACCCAAGAATGATCAAAGTCAATTTTCTCCAAAGAATATCAGTACATAATCAAGAGAAAATGTTGTGAGAAGTAATAAAATGATCACCTGATAGGAAAAGCTTTGATCTACAAACAAATTCTCTCAACTTATTCTTTATGGAAATGTATGGAGATCAGTTTGGAGAATTTGTATGTGGATATTGAGGCTTAAAGGGTTAAGGTCTTTTTTCTTTTTGCAGCTTTTAGAGAGCACCAACAAGGAGAAGAGTGAAGCGCTGCAAAGAAGAGCAGCCTCCTTGGAGGATCAGCTCAGAGGACAAAAGGTAAAAGAATCAAGTAGATCCTTTTTATAATTCTCAAACTTTTTTGAAACTGGTAGTCTGATTGAAGTCTTATTTGAAAGAGCGATTTCTTTGTGCAGCTGGTTGTAGCATGTTGCTAGCGGCCCCTATCACGTTTAACAGTTTGTGCTCAAGCGAAAGTTCAACTTCAACTTCAACTTTATTTGAGTAAATAGTTGTAAATATACAACACAGAGACTGGTCTGCAAGCAGCATTTGCTAATCTGGGCGGAACACTCATGATAAAACATTACAGTGAGAATGATTGATTAATATTTACTAAATTTACAAAAGGAGACTTAATTACTTACGCAAATTTTGGTGGTTTACATCAGAAGCATATAACCCTCTGTTTACATAAGTCAAGATACCATTACAAGTTTACTTTCATTAAGTGTCTTTGAATGAAGCAACTTAAGTTCTATTTGTACGTTTTTAGAGCAGAGGTAATTTGGGAAATATCAATGTAGTCATCATGTTTCTTTTATGTATCAACAAGGAAAGACTGGAGTTTCGTTTTGAAGAGTTTATTTGGGGAGTTTTTTTTGAAGTGTTTTTTTTAGGAGTTCTAGTCGAGTTGTGATAAAAGAAAGTGAAAATCCATGCGTGAAAAATCATTCTTATCAGCGACTGTTTAGTCATGGCGACTCTTTCTGTTTTTATTTCAGGAAGATCTTAAGACAAAAGAAGCCAGTTTACAGGAGAAGGAAGTAGTGATTCAGAAACTTAAAAACAATTTGAGTAACAGGGAAGGAGAATTAAAGGTAAGAGAAGCTTCAAATGCCAAGGATTTCCTTTTGTATAACTTTTCCGAAAAATATGATAACCTGTTATGTGGAATGAACCTTAAAACTACTTTTTGGTGCTGTTGTTTTCCACGGTAGGAATTGAAAGACTTTGTGAAGAATGCTCTAAGCAGCCCGCAAGAGGTACCGGTAGTTTATCCCAAAATGTTTTTCGATTCTATATTCTTGTTCTGTTTTTTACCGTGCTGACTTTATTCTTTGACTTTTGTTAAGGACGAGGGGTTATCTGATGAAGCGCACAAAGCTCAGGAAATCTCTGACTTGCTTAAAGAAAAAGAAAAACTTTTAGAGGTGACGTGTTTTTGTCTTGAACAAGCGACACCTATTAAGTAATTTCGTAAAGCCTAGAGCGAGCCCCACTGGCTTTTTTCCTGGTTCGGCTGGTTGTGAACGCTCAATGAAGTACTGAGTGACTGGTGCGTTGAGTCATTCAAAGCTTTTCTTGTGTCGTCGTATCCTGTCTCCTTACAAACTTTGCACCACCAAGGAAAATTATATCGGCAAATGCTAGATGCCAGTTATCTCTGATTTTTCCTCTCCGAGTTACTGGAGGAGCAATCAGCGCGCGTAACACAATGGGGAACTTTAGCAACGAACACGGCGACGACAACGAGAACGCCAAAAGGCAATAGGTTTGTTAAGAAAAATAACAACTTTGCACGTGCATAACACTTTTCTGGCTTTTCTTTGCTGTCACTGCACGACTACGACTCGAAAATACCTGATTTCACGCTTTATTGAGGACATAGACCAGCGACGGCGAATTTTTCTTTCTCTTTCTAAACTTGAGTACGGTTCCCAAGAAATCAATTCTAGGGAAATTCGCCTACATTTGATGTTGTCAGCGAATTGGAATAAACGCGACAATGTTTGAAAAAACGCAAATGCATTCTTTTCAAAGTGACGTTCTCGCTGCCGTAGCCGTCGTCGATGCTAAAGCTCTCTATTCACTTACACCTGTGGGAACAGCGGCAGCGGCGGCGACAACTCGAACGCCTTGTGTTGGAACGTGCTCGCCAGGATTCGCTGGGATAACTGGACGGATAGAGAAAAGGCGAACTGCAAACAGAAAAAATGCTGCCTGTAGGGTAGGAGTATCGCATGGAGGAGGAGCGATACTTCCAGTTTCTTTCTGCTATTTACTTTCCTACCCACGCATTCATGTTTTTACTTTATGTTTCACAGAGAGGATATGGTCATGTGTTCAACGACTTCTCTCGTTTGTTTTCAGGATTTGTTTCAAGAACGTTCTCGAATGTCATCTGCTCATGAAGCCAACACGCAGAGACTGATGTCAGCGCTAAGAGATAAGGAGACTGCTTTGAAGGTCAGAATGCTATTAACACTGGGCGGATTTTTTCTATTTGTCTTCGCAGCGGCTTCAGTTTTATACGCCCTCCATACGACAACTACTGGTGCCCCTCACAGAGGCCATTAAATTCACCTCATCAACTTAGTTGATCAAACCAAATTTATGTCCCCCCCTTGACCGAAGCAGTATTGCAGTTTCTGTTGGAACGGACCGATTCATACAGAGTTCGACCTATCACAGTTGCAAAAAAGGAACTGAACATTCAGCGCGCTGAGCCAGATAATGACTCTCCATGATTAGCTGTTATGGCTAGACTGCATGGTAATGAGCGACGCTATTTACACTGTCATATGTGCCACACATCCTGCAGAATGTTGGAAGCAGTGATTTTTTAGCTATTTAGTATTTTCCCACTCCCAAAGATACCTATCCAAGATCTGTTAAATATTCTTTCAATGATTACCGTTGAGGAATTCCATTACGTCGTTATGAGTCAGAATGACACACACAGCGCAAAGATGAACTTAATTTCGTCTGTAGAGAGGTAGATCTTTGTATTGTTGTTTTTTAAATTTACCGAGAGAGATCTTGGAGGATTATGACCATTTTAACATTTTTGTTGTATCCTGTACCTACAGGAAGCTTCTAATGACTTGACACGTGTTCAGACAGAGAAGAACGCAACCATCCAGAAACTACAGCAACTCTTGAGCAGCAAAGAACACGAAGTACAGGTAGAGTTACTATAAAATAAACGTTTTGCAAAATCTGTTAGAACTGTCGCAAAGATAAGGAAAGGAAGCACGGGTACAGTTTTTGAAAAATAAAAGCTTATAATAGGTCGAGTTTGTGTAAAGTATGGTGGAGATGACCAACACTTACAGTTAGATGCACTATGAAGGGAATGAAGAGGAAAGTCTGAATCTGTCTTTTTACATGTGTTCGATGATGACATCCCAGAGAAGATAAACTCTCCGTTTTCAAAAAGATCCTGATATGTGTGGATGGGGCTTAAGACGTTTACCTTTGGAAATGGCCCTGATGCACGTTTACGTCAGACGAGCACATTTCACCACCAAGTCTCGTTTTGAAATTTTAATGTTGTAACGTTTTGCCTAAATGAATTCTCAAGGCGGTAGAATTGAAAAGAATACCCACGCACAAAGAGTGAACATGAAAAAAGTTTTGTTTACAAATGAGGCTTGCTAGTCTGGCGTAATCGTGTATAAGGGCCATTCCTACGTTACAAGTCTGGTTACAGTGAATAACTTTCCTCTTTTGCGCAAACACTTACATAGGATCTTAATCTTTCAACAGTCAGTCAGGTGCTAAAGTGAAGGAAATTCAAGGATTTAAGTATGATGTGTATTTTTTTTTGTTTAGGCTCTTGAAAACAGTAAGGCTTGGGCCTCCCAAGAACATGACAAGCTCGTTAATAAGCTGAAAGTGGCCGTACGCGACAAGGATAAAACCATTGAGGTGAGTTACTAAGTCTACTAATGACAACGAGAACTGACCTCGGATAACTTTATTAACGATCTACTGATAATACTATCCTGTAACCTAATGTTAAGTTTGAAATTCTTTAAAAATGTTAACATCGCGCAGAATGCCTGGACATCATTAATTATTTGTAATCACAAAAGCTGCCAAATGGAATATGGCGCGCTTTGAAAAGCCCAGAATTAGAAGAGAAAGAGCCCAGATTGGTCAAGTAGGGCCAGTAAAACACGATTTTCTTATTTTCAGAAGTTTTTATCTAAACGTTCGCGCACGGCTATGATGTATCTACACTTTTATAAACACTCTCTGGTTTCCTCAAATGCGCCTGGTAAAGGACGAACTGATATCACAAGCGTCTCTCATTTTTCGTTTTGCTTCTAAGGGCTTAGTGGAGAGCGGAAAACAGAAAGATAAGATGCTGAAAGCACTGCAGGTTAGTTTACCGACTGAGTCTTTTTTTTTTCCAGTGAATGTCCAAATACAATTTCAAAGTTGAAACCAACCTGAGCCGCGTAATGAACAACGTCACGGGAAAGCATATCTCGATAGAGTGCAACGAACTTGCGAACCGGGGCTACCGACACTCTGAGATGGATCTTAGGAACTATTCCCGACTCGTGACCTTTCGGGTTGGCCGAGTAGCCTCTAGAAAGTTGGCTGCAGTGGAATCACTTACCCAAAAGCTGAAACAGTATGTACCATGAACGTTGTGAAGAGCTCCACGGGAAAGTGTTCTTAAAGTAAACATCTTTATTCTTAATGGTCACAATTGAGGAGTACCCGCAACAATGAAGTCGGCGGCATTTACGTTTGGTACTTCCGAAAAATCAGGCGTCGATTGATCAAACGTTGGACAGCGCTATCCACCGGATAAATCACTATCCATTGGATAATAATTAGGGAAAGCAAGTGCGCTATCCTCTGGATACCAATTTATCTGATGGATAGCGTTATCTATACCTTTTTAACAACTGGGGCCTGACAAGCAAGTCCTGCTATCTAGTCTGATAACCCCAGTGTCCAGTCGAGTAACTACCTTGATGTTTGTTGTTGTTGTTGTTGCAATTCTGTTACAATCCTTTTGCCGCTCAATTTACTTTAAAGCGTTTATTTGTCTCTTTTCTAGGATTCTGTGAAAAGTCCGTCCAAATTTCCCAGCCCTGCTGAAGTGGTAAAAAATACTTTTAACTTCGTGATGATCGTCTGGGCCCAGTTGTTCGAAGGCCGGTTAGCGCTTAACCCGAGGTTAAATTTTACCCGGGTTTCTTTTTCTTGTGTTCAAAAGCATTTTCTCGGATAATTTTCTGTGCTATTTTTAGAGCTTCCAATCATCAACTTGTCGACAAAAAGAATTAAAGCTGAAATACTTTTTAAGCTTTCAAATCTGAATTCTAATCTCGCACTAACCCTGGGTTATCTTAACCCAGCTTTGAATAACTCGGCCCTGGACTAATGTTTTTTTTAGGGAACATACAATTTCCAACAGTGGTTGCCCTCTCGGCTTCCGAAATTCTCAGTTCTTCGTGATAATGAATAGTCTGCGTGCCAGGCTTTGAAAGGGAGCAATACCATTTTATCGTGGATTCATAGTTTCTTTTCTTTCGTTCGAATCTTTTATTATATATCACCATATTTACGAAGAAAAGGACACAAAATTTAAACCAAGGATAAAATAGAAATTATGACGTGCTTAAAGTGAATTTTGGTGAATTCAAGTAAACGAACTTCCTGTTGGCGAAACTCTAAAATGCTAACATTTAGTGGTCTTTTATGAAGGTCGAACTGTAGGGTATTTTCTAATTTACGAGAACAATACGCGGAGTAGTGCCATGTGTTGTGACTAAAAGTTGCTTGTATACTGATCATGCGTCAAGTGGTCGCTTACAACAGGATAAAAAAAAGTAAAATTATAAAATCGCCATCCAAGAAGTGGTCACCGCGGTCACTTATGAGAGATGTTCGTTTACATACTTGACTTTTACTAGGAAAATCTTTCTTTTGGGTGGGTGGTCGGTTATGGGGGATGTTAGCATAGTGAGGTTGGTCTGTAACGGATTTTTTTGGGTCTGTTGCATCTTTCCTTGAAAAGAAAGTCGTACTACATATGTTTTTCTTTCAGGCGGAACTCAGAAGAAGCATCGGTTTACTGCAAGCTGAAGTACAAAAGAAAGACGGTATGTTAGCTGTTCACCGAGAATTACGCTTAGCCTACATTTTGTGATGCGATATGACAAATGGTGAGGGAAGCGATAGGCTAACAGTGAAACGCGCGTATTGTAGCTTGAAGGCTTCTTTGCACACGGCACTCTTGTTTTGGATCTGTACTTGTGTACTGGTGAGAGTTTATTTACCGGTTTGACTTTTGGACAGCGGTCAACACAGATGGCAGATGATGGTCAAATGATGGTCACCCTACTAGTCTTGCTTTCTTGTTATTTTGGTTGACAAACTACTATATATATTTTTTT